GTTTGAAATACCGTAGCTTTGAGTCGAATATGGTCATACTAGGATTCAGTCTGCGAGCTTAGAGGAATGAGGTTCAATTGCCGGCATAATTAACCTGCCTCGGGTTAATTTAACCATAAAATATACACTCCAGCTGACTGTTGATCCCGCCATAAATAAAGAAATGGCAGAGACCCTGAGCCATTCGACAAATGGACTGCAGTTTGCTCACACAAATACAAAAGAACTTTGAGTTTGTGAGTTTATTCCTTTTTTGTGGACTTTTAGGGACTTTCCGTGAAAGGCAGACATGATTCTTGCAGCATTCTACACCTGAGAGCAACCCCAGTAATTCTTACCTAGTCTAGGTAAAGCCAAATATGCTCTATATAAGACAGCGACTTATCTGTCATCTATCTCATTCAAAAAGAATATTCTGGAAGACATTTAATGATCTCTTTTTGTAGGTAATTCTGGAATTTAAGAATCATTTCTTAAATTCCACTGCAGGTTTTTAGCACAAGGAAATGTCAAATTACATGAAATATTTAGCGACAATTATAACTGTTTTACTTTTTTTTTGAAGTACTTGTTCAATACCTTACACTTAAATAGCCAGATCTGTGTTTTGGACTTAGGTTGGATATTTTCCTAATAAGTCTTGGTAACATTTTAAAGTCCTACCTTTCTCCTTCAAGCTCAGGGCGGAATGTGTTAGCTTCAAATATGCCTGGGTTCAGGCGCTAGCTGTCCTTGGAGACAAACCACAGGCCCTTGACCTGATCCCCTTCTCGGAGCCACAGCCTGGAGAGCCGGGAAAATGTCTTGTGTGCTGAGGCCAGGCTGCCTAACACAGCCAAATGAACAAAACAACAAAAAACATGAATAAAGGAGGCAGTGGGTGCACAAATGTACCCAAAGATAGGCTTTGAGCCTAGAAAAGTCCAGAGCTCCACAGAGGAGGCTAGTACCTTAGCCCTAGTCTAGGTCAAAGAGCCACAAGCCATGTTGAAGCAGAAATCTTCCTCCCACAGTGGACTGTGACTTCTACCCAGGGAACCAACCTCTTGGACAACTGCTTTTTTTTTTTTTTGTCTCAGGAAATTAGGTTGTGGTGTTAAAAAATTCCTGAGACCTGGGGTAGATAGAAAGGGCACAGCAGTTGTTTCTTCTGCACCAGAAATTGTCCATACTGCAAACTTCTTACCATGGGAGAAAGGAAAGGAACAAGCCTACTTTAATAACATGCAAATTTAAGTTGTCAAATAGCTCTTTACATTTTTTTTTAGATTTTATTTATTTATTCATGAGAGACACAGAGAGGGGCAGAGGCACAGGCAGAGGGAGAAGCAGGGAAACCGATGCGGGACTCGATCCTGGGACCCCGGGGTCACATCCTGGGCCGAAGGCAGACGCTCAGCCACTGAGCCCCCCCAGGGGCCCCAGCTCTTTACATTTATCTGGCAGTGTTCATCTGAAAGGACACTTTGTCATTTACTCATTCAAGGGCACGTTTTTACTGAGCGCCGCTGTGCCAGACCCTACGTTCGGTGGAGGGCATTCTCGCGTGGTGCCTGCCCTGCTGTAGCACACGATGTGGTGCAGGGAGCAGACAAGTGACGAGCTGTGAGAGGCGCTGAGAAGGATGAATAAGATGTTAGAGGTGGAGGCGGGGGTGCAGAGGGAGGGGATGGGGAGCAGGTATCTGTTCAGTCTTTAACATTCTAGCAGGCGAGAGTTTGGGAAGTGTATTTGAGCGTGTGTGTTTATTCATATCTGTATATGGCTATTTGTTGGGAGTGAAAATATTTTGATCAGCTGATTCCAATTGGTCCTTAAGTATGTTTTTCAGTTAGGGTATGACACTGCAGTAATTTAATTCTTTAAGGATTATTTTTGTTATTTCAAGTGTGGACCGTAAGTGCCTTTACTGTAGACAGCAGCATCCTTTGTTCTGTCAAGTAAAAAGCAGCTGTAATAAGACTGGCTTCTTTGCTTCTGTCTCTATTTTTAGTAAATCAAGGATATGTCCTAGAAAATATTTCCTCTGATCTTCCCCCCCCCCACCCCGCCTTTCCTTCCAGCGCCCAGTGAAAACTAATCATCTTTAGGAAAATTAAAGTCAACATCGTACAACATGTTGGCTCAAATTCTGTGGATTGTGAGCACAGATCTGACTTTTTTTTTAAGATTTTATTTATTTATTCATGAGAGACACAGAGAGAAAGGGAGCAGAGACACAGGCAGAGGGAGAAGCAGGCTCCATGCAGGGAGTCTGATGCGGGACTCGATCCCGGGACTCCAGGATCACACCCTGGGCCAAAGGCAGGCGCTAAACCACTGAGCCACCCGGGGATCCCCAGATCTGACATTTCTAATAGCAAAAACAATTGCCACCAAGATCGCAGGACAGATAAACATTCTATTAGTGAGGCTGCATCGCACCTACACCTCACTCCTGCAGCGCTTCTGTGTTCAGTCAACGTAGGTGGACTGCGGTGATGCTCAGGGAGAGGTTGTAAACCCAAGGGCTGGAAAAAGTTTCTCTTTCTCGCTCTTCTCATTTTTATTTCGTCCTTGTTTATAACCATCTTGTGGCAAGAATTGCTGCTATTCAAAACATCTGCTCTGAAATGACCGTCTTTGCTTATCGATTGGAAGCAGCTGTTCAACCTGAGGGGCTCAAGCGCGTTTCCAGTTTCCATCGGCATTTAGAGATGCCCACGCCGGATCCCACCTGATCAGGATTGTTTTGCATTCTCGGGATAAAAGCTTGTGGGGCTCCTGGGTTCTCCATGGGCCTCGGCGAAGGCTTTGCAATTCCTGTGTGCACTTTTAAAAATACTCAGATACCAAATGAAAACTGAGCGACGAAGAGAAAGCCGGCGCGAGGCGTGGCCCCGAAATGTTTGCAGTCAGTTAAAGCCCTGCTCAAGGTTAGGCTGGCGCTCCTCCAGCTGTGGCGTTCCATGTAGAATAAAATAGTGCCAGCTGTGGTCAATTACTCGATTTCCCCCTGAAACCCGAGAAACGTGTGATCACTGTTAATATGGTAAAAATTGATCAAGTGTGACGTGCTCTGTAATTCACTGATTGCAATAGCCTTGTAGGTAGCGGCTGGGGGCGTGGTGCCCACGGATGAAGTTCCTGGGCCTCTGGAGCTGAAGCGAGAGTTAGGTGAACCTTTTTTTTTTTTTTTTTTAAGATTTATTTATTTATCATAGGCAGAGAGAGAGAGAGGCAGAGACACAGGCAGAGGGAGAAGCAGGCTCCATGCACCGGGAGCCCGACGTGGGATTCGATCCCGGGTCTCCAGGATCGCGCCCTGGGTCAAAGGCAGGCGCCAAACCGCTGAGTCACCCAGGGATCCCCTTTTTTTAATTTGTTTTTTTTTTAAATCTTTTTTTTTTTTAAACTTATTTTTTATTTATTTATGATAGACATAGAGAGAGAGAGAGAGGCAGAGACACAGGCAGAGGAGAGGGAGAAGCAGGCTCCATGCACCGGGAGCCCGACGTGGGATTCGATCCCGGGTCTCCAGGATCGCGCCCTGGGCCAAAGGCAGGCGCTAAACCGCTGCGCCACCCAGGGATCCCCCTTTTTTAATTTTTAATTTTTAATTTTTATTTTTTTAAATTGTTTCTTTAGGTGAAACTTTGACTTCAAATTTAGCCTTTTTTTGGGGGGTCCATCTCTTTATTATTTTTTTAAAAAAGATTTTATTTATTTATTTATGAGAGACACAGAGAGAGAGGCAGAGACACAGGCAGAGGGAGAAGCAGGCTCCATGTAGGGACTCGATCCCAGGACTCCAGGATCACGCCCTGGGCTGAAGGCAGATGTTCAACCACTGAGCCACCAAAGCGCCCTGGGTCCATGTCTTTATTTAGGATTAATTTCTAGAAGTGGAAGCCCTGGGTCCAAACCCAGAATATTGTGAATTTTAATTGATATTGCTAACTTAAACTCTAAAAAGGTTGTATTAATTTACAAGGCAAAAAAAAATCTATTTGGATACCTAACAATCTACATCTTTGCTAACATGATGGGTAAAATGTGTTTTGATTTTCATTTTTTAATTCAGCGAAGTTTAATTTAGTTTCCATCTTCATAATTTTGGTTTCTAGCATTATCCATTTTCAATTCATTACCTTCTTAATTTCTAATTTTAGCCATGTGCTGTTATTACTCTTTTTTATAAGGAACGGCCTATTCTTCTTACATCATAACATCCCATAGAATCTCACTGAAGATCTAAAACAGTTTTTAGAGGTCTCAGACATTTCTTTTTAACCTTTATTTTATTTTTTTTTAAATTTTTATTTATTTATGATAGTCACACAGAGAGAGAGAGGTAGAGACACAGGCAGAGGGAGAAGCAGGCTCCATGCACCGGGAGCCAGACGTGGGATTCGATCCCGGGTCTCCAGGATCGCGCCCTGGGCCAAAGGCAGGCGCTAAACCGCTGCGCCACCCAGGGATCCCTCTTTTTAACCTTTAAAAAGGTAGTGTCCTACCTGCCTTTTTACTATCCCTATGGAATTATTAGAGTTCTCAACTTATTGATTTCCTGAGTGAACAGAACTTTTTCAGAAGTGTGATATAGATAGAGAAATCAAAGTTCCTATTTTGATCTAATTTTCTTTTAATATTTGAGCCCCAGCTTTTCTGTTTTTAACCCATTTCTGAGTTTTGGACAAATCTGTCTAGTCCTATCTTTGTAAGTCCTGGATTCAACTCATGCTATCAGGGATTGTCTCTCTTTGGCTCTTGGTAGATATGCTACCCCAGGCGGGTGCTGGTCCTTGATGGGCAACACACAGTTATAGCAAGAAATGTTTCACAAATGATGTCTGATATGGTCTAGTTAAGATTAATAAAATCACACTGCTTAGAAAGAATTATCCATTGACTTAGAGTCAACAAAAGTTTTTTTTTCTTTTGAATATTAAAATATAGATAGAATTGTTTGGCGGGCGGGGGGGAAACTAACTTGAAATAAATAAAAAAATATCTTCACGTTAATCGTTCTTCCCATATACTTCAAATTTGTACTTAATGCCTTTCTCCTCCTGGATATCAGAAAGAACACCTGGGTATTCTGGCAGAAGTTTATATTTCTCCAAATCAATTTCTGGGAAAAATGTGTCACTTTCAAATTCATGCATAGTCCTTGTCACAAATAGTCTAAGATGGCCTGGTTTGTTCATGGCTTCCTTATAAACAGAACTGCCTCCCACTATCCAAACCATGTCCGCTTTATTTGCTAATTCTGGTTGCTCAGTAAGTTTTAAAGCATCATCCAGACTTTTGGCAAGAAAATGAGCTCCTTGTGGAGGTTCCTTGAGGTCTCTGCTGAGAACTATATTAATTCTGTCCTTTAAAGGTCGATTCTTCTCAGGAATGGAGAACCATGTCTTCCAACCCATAATCTCCAAATCCTGTTTACCTTCCACGGAGGAGTTCGTGGTCATTCTTTGGAAATACTTGAATTCATTCCTGAGCGGGGTCCAGGGCAGGTCCCCGTTCCTGCCGATGCCCATGTTCTGGGACACGGCGATGATGCAGTTCAGCGTGCGCACCCTGGCACCGGGGGACACCAGGCAGCCGCTGCCCGCGCCGCGCCCCCGCCCGCCCGAAGTCAGCCTTAGGACCTTGATGGAGGAGCGGAGTGGCTCAAGACCCATGAGCCATCCACCTGAGAGAATAGAATCAAGTAGCAAACGTTTCTGTGTGCTCAATGCTTGTGCTATAATTTGAATAAAGCGGGACTCAAGGTTGTATATGTGATGATTACAGTCGCATGAAAGAAAAATCTGAGGTTAAAGAAAATCTAGAACATCAAAACATCTTTTTTTTTGTTCTGGTTTCCCTTTCTACTAAGCTAAACGTATTGCCTCAAAACGTGCAAGTGGCAACGTGCATGTGACCTGGGTCAACAGAGCCATGGCCGGGCCACGGTGCGGCCGGGGTGGCTTTCCCCGTCCACAGCGGGTCCCTACCTGGTGGCAGCCCAGCCGGAGGGTCGGGTCGGGGCGTGGGGAGCACCTGGAGCCCAGCCGACAAGCTCTGCATCCCCCGCAGCGGCCGAGCGCCTCGTCCGCTCCCTCATCCACCGCAGAGGGGCTCTTATTTCCTGGGCCTTTGGCCGGGTCCCCGGGTCCTCTGGGAGGACTGTCCCCTGCCAGCTCGGGAGGGTTTGCACCGCTGTGCACGCATCGTGTCTCCTGCTGGCCCAGCTGCTTCCGGGCTCCGGCCACCAGCAGCCCGTGGGGAGAGGTCCGAGGTGAGCGCCCCAGACATCCAGCCCCACGGGGATTCTGGACACCCTCGAAGGTGGATGTCATGTGGGTGTGACACGAGCCCTCGTTCCAGCCACCTCTGTGGCGCTTCCCTCCACGTTTGCGGTCCTGGAGTTGGTGGATGCCTTCCAGGTTCTGGAACCACCGGGTTTATGGGACACTCAGAGGGTCGCTCCTGCCAGGGGTGCCCGTGCCCAGCCCTGTCCCGCCTGGGGCTCACTCCGGGTAGATGCCACCCGCCGCCTGGGGCTCACTCCATGTAGATGCCACCTGCCGCCTGGGGCTCTCCCCGCCGTGGGCCGCCAGGAGCCGGTTGCTGGCCAGCCGTGAGTGGTGTTCTAACCAGGGCCCCGGGCCACCCGGGTGAAAGTCCCGACACCTGAATCCACCGGTGGCCCCGTACTCCGCCCGACAGGGTCCTCCTTCTTCGGTCACCTGCTGTGCAAGGACCGAGGCTGACAGCCCCCGAGTCACAGGGGCTGGTGGGGACCGAGGCAGATGAAGCCCGGGAGGTGGAGGCTTGTGTGACTCTGTCACCCCTGAACGGAGGCTTTACTGCCCGCCCCCCCCCCCAGCAGTGTGTCATCGCCTGGGAGCCTGCGCTGGTGTCCTCCGGCTGGTGTCCTGGGAAGGAGGCGACACCATGACGGCGGCCTGGGGGCTCTGGCCCAGGGGCTGCAGCGCTCGCTGCTGTTAATAAAAGTGGAATAAAATGCCACCTTTGTCGGAAGAGCCCGGCGGAGCTGCAGTGTGCTCCCGGGTGCGGGAGGCCCGGTGCCACCGCAGGCCCTGTTGCCGGCCCCAGCACCGCAGACCCTGTCGCTGGCCCCACCACGTGTGCCCAGAGTCGAAGGACCACGCAGGTCCCATGGGAGCAGCTGCCACCCGTGGGCCGCTCCTGCCCCCCTCACTTGCTTTGCAGCCGAGGTCGCGAGGCCCCGGGGCACAGGGCCCAGCCCAGGGGACAGCGCGGGCACAGCCCACCTGAGGCTGGTCCTGGGGCACTGGGTCCCCTGCTCCCCGGCGGTCCCAGCCGCGCTCGCCCCCGGAGCCCCTCCATCCAGTGCCCGGCCCGGCCGCTGCCCAGGGGCCACCGTGAGAACCGCCCCCCCAGGCACCCCGACTCGATCTGCCGTCCTGTCGGGGGTCGCCCTAGAAAACATCCAGAAGGGCCATGCTGCTGGGGACGGGGCTCTGGGGCGGGGGGGGGGGGCGTTGGTGCCCAGGGCAAGAGGTGGAGGAGGGAGGCCTTGGAGGCGCGAGGACGGCACAAAAATCCAGACGGAGGCTTGAATTCGCAAAGGGTCCTGGGCAGAGCCGGTATGTCAGCGGTGTCTGAGGGGAGAAAACCAGGGGGAGCAGTAGCGGGTGTAGGGGGACCTAGGGGAGGCCGCCGGGGCTCGGCTGGGTAGGGGCTGGGTAGGGGCCGGTGCGCCCAGGGTCGCGGGGTCGAGGCCCGCCTCAGGCTCCTCGCTCCGTGGGGCGTCTGCTTAGAGCCTCTTTCTCCCTCTCTCTCAAAATAAATCAAGTAAATAGTTTTTAAAAAAGGATTTAAAGGAAATTCTTAATAAGGGTGTTGGGGTCTCCCCTTCCTTCTGAATGTCCCAGAAATGTAAGTGCAGGAGGGTTTGTGCGTGTGCCCCTCTCCTCACTGCTGCCCTCTGGGGTGAGCCGGGGCCCACGTTCTTACGACCTCTGCCTCCTCCCAGGAAGCCCCCACCCGCCAGCCTCAACAGCTCCCTAAGAAATGAGGATTAGAAGGACTCAAAGGACTGGACTCTTGGGGCCTTTTGCTGGAGTGTGGGGAGACCGCGGCCCAGGCCACGATGAGGGTGGCGGGAGACCTTGGAGAATTTGCCCAACGGTTCTCATCACCCTTGGTCGGAAGTAACCCTGGGGTGTGAGGTTGGGGTGGCGGGAGGAGGTGGGCCCTACCGGGGGAGGGGCGCCCCAAGCACAGGCAGGCTTCCCCTGGGGAGGGTGGGGTTGACTCAGGGCCGGGCCACATCAGGGCTGGGGGGCTCGGGGCGGGCATGCAGGAGAGGCCTGGGACTTGGTCCGGGGAGACGGGGCATGGCTGCCTGCGGGGTGGGGGGCCCCCAGCACCCCTACCAACTCTCAGTTGCTCCGACAGGAGTCGCCCCTGAAACACCCGCCAAGGCACCGTTCGTTTGCCAGTTCTGGCTGCACTCACCAACTCTGCAGATCCGGCCCCCCGGGGGGGTCCCCCTCTGCCCATAGTGGCGCATGCTCCCTGTTGCAGGAGGCATTAGTGGGCAATTAGAACATGACCCCCCAAGTCCAACTGGGAATCTGGTTCACGACGAGCAGGTTCACTGACTCCCGAATCCGTGAAACAGTGGGTGCTACTGGGGTGGGAAAGAGGTGGAATTTAAGACGTAGACGGGTCAGATGGGGTTCGCTGTACCTTGGTGTCAACGGTTAATTTTTTCATCCACGAATATTCGCAAAATCTTTCGGCAACCCCGTGCCTAGTAGGAAACAAACTGGTTTAACAGGCGGAAAACCTGAGATCTAGTCCTGATTCTGTCGATTGTGTCTTCTTCCAGAATGACCGTCTCTCAGGGCAGCCCTGACGCTCTGTCCTTCGTCGGGACCCCGGGCTTGAGGCGTGAGCTAGGCCTGTCCTGTCCTCCTCGCCGTCTTCAACTAAGAGTCAAATTGGAGAAAACGCCCGTTTGTTTCCTTGGGGTGGGGGTGAGGCCAGCTCGAGGCTTAAGAGCACCAGGAGCTCAGTAGAGCCTTGTCCTCTCGGTGGGAACATGCGGGACAAATGTTATGACGGTTCGTTTTTGGTAAACAAGAAAGTTGGCCCAGTTAGCAGAGCCCCACAGTAGAGCTTAGTCCCTTCAGGGTCCTCCTCTTCTCTGGAGGTGGAGGGAAGGTTACATTCCTCAAAGGACGTTGTTGACCAAAATAGAGGAGACTGAGACTGGAATCTTTTCTTATAACAAACAGCAAACCTTTCTTGGTTTCTTCCGTCACCATCTATCGGTTCTGATCCAGGCAGCCCAAAACAACAAAGACCTTTTTTGAGATTCGGCCCTTGATTTTATGTGACAGTTGAATAATATTATTCAATTATTATTCCCAGTCCTGTTTCTACCTTCAAAGGTAATGCGTTTCGTAGCTACGGTTGAAAGTTCTTCTAAAGAATTAAAATTCCGATGGAACGAGTGTCAACTCTAGGTGGGTCATCGACGATTTAATCAAGAATTTAAAATCTGATATGAAGGTGACTATTTCGTGTAATTGCATTAAATAAGAAAATGATAATATTAAATAATGAAAATCCTTTACAGATCGTTTGTGGCTTGTCAGTGACATTCTACAGTCCTACTAGAACCTAATTTTCATTCATTCATTCATTCATTCATTCATTCATTCATTCATCTATTTCTTTCTTTTCTTTCATCTATCTATCTATCTATCTATCTATCTATCTATCTATCTATCTATATCTATCAGCAACCCAGAGAGAGAGGCAGAGACACAGGCAGAGGGAGAAGCAGGCTTCCCGCGGAAAATAGTCTGATGTGGGACTCGACCCCAGGACCCCGGGTCACACCCTGAGCCAAAGGCAGATGCTCAACAACTGAGCCCCCCAGGTGCCCCTGAAACATAATTTTCATTGGATTATCAATATAAAACTTATCCTTCCACTAGTTCCTGGTCCCTCCTCTCATCTTCTGGCAGAGTTTTCTCTATTTGTGCCCCCCCCCCCAGATATGCTCAGGAGGTTCCCATCCTGAAAACCATTAGCTCCTGTCCACTGCACTGCCGCGTGTTTCCCTGTCCTGCACTCTGTCCTTTCATCCCTTGCTGCCTCCGTTGGTCTCTCTTTCTCCACAGCCGCCTTCCCCGTCCTCCTCCCTTCTCCTCCCGCAACCTCACTCACCTGGTGGGGGTGCTGGTGATGTGTCTGACACTGTGGTGAAAACAGGAATGTGCTGGAAAGACCGGGCTGTGTCCTCATGGGGCCTAATATTTGGCACAGAAGACAAACACTTGATAAACAAGGGGTGGAGTCGTCTCGTCCTCACTTCCTACCTCCGACTTATCCCCACTGGGCTTGATACTCCATCCCAGGCCAGCAACAACCGCTCGGTTCCAAAAGCAGTGGACCTTTTTTGTTCCACTTTTAATGTCTCATCGGAGTTCATCACATCATTCTTCTGGAAACTTCATTCTCCTTTGCTCTGTGTCCCCATTCTTCACTGGGTGTCTTACCCCCTGGGCCCTTCTGGTAACTCTTCTTCTGCTCCTC